TGGCTGAACGGGTTCTGTACAGTGTGAAATGGAGTCTGATGGAAGTGCAGTATCCCTTCACCTGGATTTCCTATCCCTTCCCAAAGGCAGAGGCTGCTGGGAGGTGACAAGGAGCCTCATCACGGCAAAGACACTCACAGCCACAAAACAACAACCAACCTGGACATCCAAGTGATGGTTAGGAGTGGCTACTGGGAAAAAATCTTCCAGTTGATTGAAAAAAATAAAATAAAATAGGAAAGCAAGTGCAGGGCTACTGCAAGGTGCATGGTCAGAGGTACCAGGTCATGCAAGCAGCCACCCCCTCCCTCCCCAAGACCCCAGACACCCCACAGCCCCAGCACTAAAGCATCTTCAAGCATCTCCAGAGATCACATCACCATGATTTCAGGGATTCGTTTTGCTTTGAGTCCAGGGAGATGAGAACCAGACTGTGCACCTGAGATGGCTCAAGATTCTTCAGAGAGTTGGTCTGAGGGCACGAGGATGGCAAAGGCCTTCTGTGCTGGCAGGGTGTGAGCTGGAGCTCTGGGTCCAGTGTGGCACAGCTGATTTTGGACACAAAGATACCCTAAGGAGGAGATTGGTTTTTTTCTTTTTTTTTTTTTTCTTTTTTTTTTTTTTTTTTGCAAACTGCTGCACAAACCACCGAACGGAGAAAAGCCTTTGGTCATGAGAGAGTTGTGAGAAAAGTGAGCCTTGTATGGAAGATTCCCCTGAATGCCTACAGTATTCTAAATCTTAAAAAAATATATTGTGGACGCTGCAGCCATACAAAGGGGGAGGAAGAGGAGTGGGAGACAGGGATTTACAGTCTCACATAGACACAACGGGGAGGTTAAGACAAGCACAGTCAGAGTCTGTAAAACTGATTGGCTCGCTCAGATCAGTCATCCTCATCGTCCTCTTCATCTTCTGGATCTTCCTCTCCTTCATCCTCTAGACTTCGTTTTCTCTTTTCCCCACATGGATGGTCTGCAAAGAGAGGCGAAGCGTGAAGTTCTGCTCAGCCCTGTGGAACAGCAGCTGAGCTGTGGCCTCACGTGGCACAGGGTGCTGGGCAGCAAGCACAGGCTAGATAGACTGGCACCTGATCCACCCCTGCTTGGTTTCTCACAGCACCCAGAAAAACTTGGCTCAGCACGAGACATGAACCATTTTCTATGCCCTTCGAGCATCCCACATTGAAACAGCTGCTTGAAAACAGGATTATTTTTGTTGAGCAGCTCCAAAATTGATGTATCTGTAGAATTCAGGCACTTCTGACCAAGCTTATGATGTCCCCTCTGTGCTGAGGCTTTGAATCCTGGGGGCAGCTCTGGGCCCCTCACAACAAGAAGGGCACTGAGGGGCTGCACCATGTCCAGAGAAGGGAACAGAGCTGGGGAAGGAGCTGGAGCACAAGTGTGGTGAGGAGCAGCTGAGGGGGCTCAGCCTGGAGAAAAGGAGGCTCAGGGAGGACCTTCTTGCACTCTCCAGCTCTCTGCCAGGAGGTGCAGCCAGGTGGGGTCAGGCTCTGCTCCCAGGGAGCAAGAGAAAACAGCCTCAAGCTGTGCCAGGGGATGTTTAAATTGGATATTAGGAAAGATTTCTACATGGAATTGGGTATTAGGAAAGATTTCTACATGGAAAGGCCAAGTCAGGCATTGGAAAAGGCTGCCCAGGGCAGTGGTGGAGTTACCATCCCTGGAAGTGTTCAAAAACATGTGGATGTGACACCTGGGGACATGGTTCAGTGGTGAAAATGGTGGTGTTGGTTAATGGCTGGACTTTTATCAGAGGGATTTCCCAACCCCAACAATTCCATGATTCATACAAGACCATTTGAATTCCCACCAGCCACTACATCCTGTCAGCAATCACTTAGATGTTTATAATTTGTTACCAGCAAAGGCCTCTGGACCCAAAAAGCTCAGGTCCACCTTCCCCTCTACAGCCAAGAGGAGAGGGGAATATACCTCTCTCACACACTCACTGACCACCAGTCCACACAAGTGGTTTTCTAGGCAATTTGCCTCTTTAATATCTGGCAGAATTCCTACCAGTGTGGTTGGAATTGGGAGGAACTGAAATCTGTGTCCCACTCTCTGTGTGAGCCTTGGTGATGATACTACTCAGTATCAGCTCAGGCAGAAATATTGCACTCCCCATCAGGGAGGAGCTGCAGCAATAGCCTCACCCTGAGGCTTGAGAAGCACTAAAACCACCAAATATGTGACTGCTGAGGCAGCTTTGCAAGAAATTGGTTTGTTAGGATTCAACTCACCCTCATCAGCTTCATCTTCTTCATCCTCCTCACCATCTTCCTCCTCATCTTCCTCCTGGAGTTAAAATGAGACATTTTGTTGTAAGAACCACAATTCCCTAAGATGTAATTCCACAGCTACATTTTCCTTCCCCTCTGCTCCCACCCAGCTCTAGCCTCAGGGAGAAGCTGTTGGTTCTCCAATAGCTCCTCTCATCCCTACGGGAGCTGCACAGCTTCATCACCTGGAGCCATGGGAAGTACCAGGCTGAGCCTGAACTGGAAAACTCTTGTGGACCACGAGTCAAAAGGTGCAGGGAAAAAACCAGAGTGATGCCAAACTCCTCAGATCTGCCCACAAAGAGGCACCTGTGACACTTGGGTCACCAGGCAAGGGACAAACACAGCACCAAACCCAGCAGGGTTCTACCAGGGACAGAGAGCCTCACCTCATCATCTACTCCATCCTCCTCCTCTTCACCTTCCAGATCATCATCTTCATCTTCTTCATCATCAATGACTTCTTCATCCAAATCATCTTCCTCCTCATCATCATCCTCTTCCTCACCTTCTACCAAAAAGGAGAGGGAGGGAAGTTTTACAGTTCCCAAATCCTTGCTAATCCCCAGACACTCAGCTCAGCCCTCGGTGCTACGTGAGCAACAGGCAGGGACCACACAGGGACCACACAGGGATCACACAGGACACGTGTGCACGAGGAGGGACAGCAATACACACCTCACAGCAGGTCCCACTCCCTCCCCACCCTGACAGAGGAGGGATTGGGGGTACCCAGACAGCTCCCACTGCTGACCACCATTTATCAAGCAACGTGCCCATGCAGGAGGGGAAATTGGTTGTTCCCCAGCAAGAAAACCAAGAGGAGAGACAATCCTCACCTTCCCCATTCTCATACTCATCTTCCAGTGCATCTCCATCTGCTTCAGGGTCTGAGTCAGGAGCTTCCTGTTCCTCAGCATCAAACCCATCCAGGTAGGTGAGCTGGGGCAGGAGGGCGAACACGCTCTCCCGGTAGTTGATGAGCATCGTCACCTCACAGTTGAAGAGGTCCAGACTGTGGAGGTTTGGCAACTTTTTCTGCAAAAATCAATTCATTCAGATTATTTACAAGCTGATGCTGTTTGAAGATCAGGCGGCCATGGGAGGACAGCTGGTGTGCTGCCCAGATCCAGCACACAGCAGTGTCTCTGCACACATCATCTGCCCCATGTGCTCCTCAGATGGAGAGAAGTCACTGCTCTTGCTCTTTGTGGGCACAGAAAACTTCTTTCTAGCTCCTGTGTCCTAGTTTCCCCTACTTGGAGCCAACTCTGAAACCATCTGCAAACCTTTCTTCTGAACAGGGTGGGCAACAAGCACAGAAAGCTCAAGAATTGCTGAGCTGGACTCAAAAATATCAGGCAAAATACCCAAAGAGCAGAGCACAGGGAGAGCTGCAGCCCAAGTGCCTTTGGCACAGCCCAGCAGCATTC